ATATATATATATATATATATATATATATATATATATATATATATATAAAGGTGTTTTAAACCCTTCCTACACTCTTGCAATATTCTAAACAATGTTTCTAAACTCTAAACACTTTAAAAGAGCACATAATGTCATAATTTCAGTTCTTTGCCTCCTCTGCTCTCAGCCACCTGCAAAGCTCTTGGTCACGCCCACTTCTCCGCTCTGCACAATAGCAGCTGATCAGCTGCAGCAGGAAGTTTATCCTGCAGTGTGGGCTGCACAGAGGTGCAGCAGGTGCTAAATAATTTTGAATAATTTTTCTTAAATAAAAAGTCCATGCCGATCGCGCGGCTCATCTATCAATCAGCCAATTGTGTGTTATGTCCACTCTTATTTTGAAAAACCTCGATAGAGCGAGTCCCGCGAAAAATGAACCGTGAAGTAGCGAGGGACTACTGTAATGCATTTTGAGTTAGAACTGTGCAACGTAGACAAGATTTTAGTAGAACGTGAGAAACCATTTCACCTCAGACAAAACAAATGACAAACTTAACATGTTTGAACTGGTTTTTGAATACTTGAACAGATTTTACATCATTACATTTTCAGTTTTAGAGTTTCTGAAGAGTTTGCTACAAAATGTTCAACTGACAGCTGATGATGCCACACTCACTTTAAGATGTAAAACAATTGTCACTAAACTTTTCTTACTCCAGCTTTGATACAACAACTGATTGCCCGTGAATACGTATCCACTCTTTCTGCCATACAGAGAAGTCACACCCAGAGTCTCTCTTTGAATGAACCTGGAATCAGATCAGGAGGTGATGGTTCTCTTCGTGTCTCCTAAATAAAACACGGTATATAAAGCTGTGCGACACCCACATGCTTTAATTAGCGGCACATTTTCTTCAACACGATACGGCTGTTTGTTTGGGGCTTACTTTTTAGTCAGAGTTTCTTTCTTTCTTTTATTTTTGAGAGCGCTGTCAGGGAGTGACAGACAGGAGTGTAGTTTCCATGATGACCCCACTGACCTGTCTTTTAAAGTTTACATTCAAAACATCACGTCTTTAGAGGTTGCGAGCGTCGGTCTTCAATGGCCATTAGGCCTGACGGAGGGAAGTTGTTTTAACTCAGACACACCTGCAGCGAGCAGATGTGAAAACTTTCACGACCGTCTCTGAGCGCGTGCACACAGGTTTACACAGTTATTTATGCAAACACAATCTTACAGCTGCAAACAAACACAACGTTAGCCTCTAATCGGCCACCAGCCTGAAAGCTGTGATGTCAGCTTATCAATCTCTTGTGTATTTGTGTTTACAGTCATTATGTGCAGTTATGGGACATATCTCAGCCCGGGACTCTCAGTAGTTTGTGTACACAGGCCGTGCTGGAGCTGCAGCTTCCTGTTGATACGAGAGTTCGACTTCAATCGTGCCCACTGTGGACCATCGGATCACACAGCTGAGAGATAAGACGCTGCAGTCGCTCCAGCTTTGAGCACATTCCAGATCAACACGTACAGCAGCCATTACTGAGCCAACGAACTCGACTAAAACCAAACAAAACCTGACGATTATTCTTTTTAATGCTTGGAGGAAAACCCCCCACACACACACACACGCGCACACACACACACTCCCCCAGTCTCAGGTGGTGACACACGATGGAGCTGAAGCTGTTCTGGTCAAACCTTAAAGACAAGCTCTTAAAATCTCAGCTACTACCAGACCTGATTTTACTACAATATCTATAAAGAATACTAATTTCCAGGTAGGTTAAGACTGATTGGCTGTGGCAGCCATCTTTAATTGTGTCGACTACTAAAGTTAATTTCTGTAGATGTACAACCGGTGTTTAATTTCTGAGAGATTTATTGAAATCTGCCAAGTGATTCCTGTTATATTTTGCTAACAGACAGATAAGAGTTGACTCCACCAGTTTTGGCAAAGATCATGTTCAATGAGAAGCACTTGAAGTACATGTTGTGAATCACTTTCTACTAATACTACACCGTCTTAGCACAGTACATGTAGAATGAACAGATTTATATTTGTTTGCCAGTGATTATTTCCTGGAAGAACGAGTAAGATCTGTCCTTGGATTCATGAGATATTTTGCTAACAGACATATAGAGATGACTTAAAGAGGAGATTAAAATAAAGAATGAGTTGTTTGGAGGCAGGTGATGATTGTTCCTGTGGCGTCATTGTTTCCTCTTATGTCTGTTTTTATCATTTTACTGTTGAATCCCGCTGCCGTCATCCTGTCTGAAGCCTTGCTTTTGTTGGTGGGGGGTCAGGCATGGTGTTAATTAGAGATGCACAATATTATTGGCATGGGATCAGTATCGGCCGATATTAGCGATAAAGTTAAATATCGGCAATTCCATCAAAATAACTCACCGATATAAAAGGCACTGTTTTTGTCGGACAACCCAGTGACAAGGACGCCTGCAGTGCCTGCACAATGTTATGACGTCACGCGCGCCGTTGAGTTAAGATTTGTGAAAATTTACAAATTTGCGCTGTTAGAGAGTTGTCACTGTGTTAGAGAGAGTAAATGTCATGAAGAAATGTGACGTTAAACATAATCCAAGTTGAAGTGTTACATCATTTTCAGTCCCCTTTTTGGCATCTGCATTTGGTGTCAGGCCATACTGACAAAGACCATGCAGAACAATGTAGTATTTTAATACCACATAGGAGAAAGCTTTGCATCTCTGTAAGTTGGTCTAGGAAAAAAAATATTATTGGTACTGTTATCAGTTATGAGCCAAATAAGTTTTAACATATCAGCATATCGGATATCAGCCAAAAATCCAGTATTGTGCATCCCTAGTTTTAATATTCAACTACTGGTACAAAAGATTTAGCTAAACAGACAGAAGTAAAATTCATTGGGCTATAGGGTGAAGTGAAATTCTAGCAATGTGTGTGTGAGGACGAGGCTCGGTTCTGATGTCCATCTGGATCTGATGGTCCAGCTTAGACCCAGACGTGTCTAATCCCAGAGGACAGATGTGTTTTATTCCAGCAGGTCACAGCTCTGCTTCAGTTCATATTCGCTCCGTAAAACATTACTTTGATGAAAATAAAAACTCTCCGCAGCTTCAAATATATTTGGGTCAAATCCGTGAACAGAAAGTTTCTCCTCTTCCACAGTCCGAAGGAGAACAAACATCGATTTTCTGTCACAGAGACAAGTTTTCATTGAAACAACTTCATATTTAAATTAAAAAATGTTGATTTATGTAACGACAGGACTGCATCCTCCTCAGCTCCGTTGTCAAACTGACGTTAGTAAATTAATAAATCCAGGCTGCGACTTCTGATGTTTTCTGTCTCCGTCTGTTGTTGCTGCCCTAATACAACCAACAAGCTTTAATGATTTGTTATGAACTGTAATCAACTTTTCAGGGCATGTTTTTCTTTTTATAAAATGGTGAAAAGAGTTTAAATAATTCCACTTTATGGTAGATCTGGTTTAACACATGCTGAACGTGTTTTATTTTCATATAAAGTTCAATAACTTAATTCTAACGAGGCTGAGTCAGGTCCTCTGGACGGATTCTTCTTTGTCTTTCATCCAAAAAAAACCTTCTTCAAAAAGCAGCACCTTCTCATAGTGGATGAACCAGTTTGCTGCTGACAGCCAGAGCTAGCTGTTCACATGCTACAGGAGGACCATCAGCCTAATGACCAACTGTTAGTGCTCTGATGGCCGATTGCTATTCACAGAGGGATGAAACTAGCAATAGCAGCATTGTAAGAGGGACAGTTGAACACGGAGACCCCTGATTAATGATGGATGGGTTCTCGTCACAAAGATGGCCTCCTTCACTCCTCTCTCAAACCATCGTTCCTCTCTATCCAGGATGTGAACATCTTCATCCCTGAAAGAGTGACCTCTGGCCTGCAGCACTAGACTGCAGAGTCCTGGCCTGATGATGCTGCTCTTCTGTGTTGGACCATCCTTTAGGCCTGTGGCTGTTCAGTTTCCCCGATAGAGGGAAGTTGATGTGAGAGAGGAGTAAAGGAGGCCATCTTTGTGAAAAGAAACCGTCCATCATTAAACAGGGATGGAGGCCTCCGTGTCCAACTGTCCCCCTCTCACAATGCTGTTATTGCTAGTATCTTTCAGCCCCCTGTGAATAGCAAGCAGCCATCAGAGCACTTTCCATCGTTAGGCTGATGGTCCTCATGTGAACAGCTAGTTCTGGCTGTCACCAGCTAACTGCTTGATCCACTATGAGAAGTTCAAGTTGTGTTTATTTGTCAGGTTAACACAGAGTTAACAGTAAATTTAAATGATTA